ATATAAACACACTTGGAAAGATGAGCAGGAGATAAACACTTCTCAACTTCCATAGTAAACCCTAGAGGATTCATCTCTTTGGTATTTGGGAAAAATCTTGGCTTCATACCTTGGGACCAAAGTTTTTTCTCACTGTGTTCCAGTGGAACTCTCATTAGCAGAACAGGATTTCTCTTTCAGTAGTTCAAGGTGATTGCTTCAACCTAAAATTTCCAAAGATGATGCATAATAAAGTCCCTAGTTGCTCCAGGATAAAGTTCTGTTTACTTAGTGGTCCCAAATTCAAGCTTCTTGCGTGACCCCTGGGACTGCCTGGTATTGAGTCAGATGCTTCTTAGGCTCCTTGACTGAGTCCATCAACCTACTGGCTCTGTACACTCTACTATCTTCCTCTGATTGGATGCACTGGAGCAGTCTTTCTTCAGACAATGCTAACAGTACACTATTAGCTTTTGAGGAATTTAAGTGGCCACGTGATTATGTGGTCAGTATTGAGAAAAATGAAAGAAATTGCTAAAAAAAATGCTTTAAAATGATTCACAAGCAATTATTAGAAAAATGTTTTGAAGATTTGTCTACAGGGCCTTTTGGAGCCTGTATAAACATACTTATTTCTTTTAATCCAACTTTCTAGATTGAAGAGTGTTTACTTCCTGGAGCTGAGCTGTTGCAGTACAACCTCCCTAGTTGGGAATCCCTTGAGCTAACATGTTCACAGCTTGAAGCTGAGCTGTGGGATACAAACAAAGAGCACCATATGACCTCCCTAAATTCTCTTGTTTCTTCTTACAAGCTTCTTGGGCTGCTTTCTCCTTTCTTCCCTTTTCATAATTTTTTTCTTTGACAGGCCCAGGCTGGCCTCAAACTCACAGCAGTCCTCCTGCCTCATCCTCCTGAGTGCTGGGATTACAGGCATGTGCCACCATGCCTGGCTTTTCCTAATTTTTAGAGACATTTTACTTCAGATCCTCTCATCTTTAATCCTTTCTCCATCCTGGAGTTCTCCAGCTATGCTGCATCCTCTCCAGGGTGCAGTTTATGCTGGTTCCCTAAGGCGCTCTAGTGAGTTTCAGAGATGTGCCTCTCTTTCTCTTCCCTTGGGTATTGATAATCCAAAAAGAAATGAAAACTAAATTTGTAAGGCTCTTATTTTATGTAAATTACCCAATTAAATCCTCACAACATTACAAAGTGGACCTTATTAACCCCACAAGGGAGATGGGAAATTTAAAATTAAAAGATGAAATAGTTTTTCAAAGCTTGCATAGCTGGAGAAAGACAGATCTTAGAAAGGCCCACACACACGTGTCTCCAAGGAGCTCTACTACACCTCCGCAGATTCTCCTTGCCCTTTGGCATACAGCTTGCATTTCACCAGGTCCTGAAAAGTGTAGGGCAGCTGAGAAGGTAAGAACATAAAGTACACATTTTTAACCTTTACAGAGTAAAATCTCCCCTAAACCCTGAACTCTCAAGATTTGGTTTTTGGCAATTAAAAAAACTCCACAAATTTGTTTCAGAAAAGTTTTATATTTGATTTAATTTAATTTTATGAGTTTTCAGTATTGTATATCAGTTATACAAAATCTTTAAGAAATACATACTTTATAACAAGAAGTATATTTAGCAGGCCTTGCTTTCATAATTGTAAATCTTGCTTCTGATTTCATATTCATTTATAAGGCCTAGAAATAAGATTATACAGCATATAGTATATCTGACTTGATAAACATTTAATTCCTTTATGGAAGTTAGGATTATTGTTAGTATAAATATGTGCATTGCTGGGAAATATATACCATTAGTTTTAATAATGACACAATAACAAAAAACAAAAGAAAATCAACAGAATACGCACACATATGCACACGCACACACATGCATGAAGTATAGGATCATAACATTCCCCTGTGATCTGCTTGTGGAGCAACTGTACAATCAAGTGTCTAGTTCAATATCTTAGTCTATAAAGCTATATTTAAAAATTAAATTAATTAAAACATTTCTCAGTTTAAAGTCATCAATAGGCTCAAAAAGTTCAGTAGTTTGAGATGTGTTTTCCATTTCTGTGCTTGACTCTCATTGTCTTTGTTGGACCACGTTAACTGTGAAAATAGGACCTTAAAGTTGCAAATAAAAATCCCAGGGCACAGCCTGGCTGGCACTGAGACCTCAGCCAACACTGGCTGAATGTTCATCACACCCGAACATTAAAGCAATTGGTCCAGATGTTTTTTAATGGCTGGGATTTGAAGGCCTCTGAAACACATAGTGCTTCTTTTTCCTAAAGATAGGGTTTCAGTTCTAAAGAACTCAGGGCATGATTCTTTTTGTACTGTGTTATGGGCAGCCTCACTGTGTAGCCCACAGTCCCAGAGCAAAGTTCAACTGCTATACTGTGCTCTGGATATGAGGCAGAGAGCTTTATCATTTGGCTCTCTTGTGACAGAGTAGAACTGGAAATCTTGCGAAGGGGATCTCTGTGTTACTGGGTGGTGTAGAGAGCTAGTCCTCACTCCTGTGAAGTACTGTTTAAGTCTTTGTCAGTTGACTGCACAATAGGGACTACTGATTTGTACATAAATCTGGAGAAGTTTTGCTGCATTCTAATTTATGTAATAATGTTTATTTCCAAGCAAAGCAATTTCCCCTAACCTACTCCAGAGCATATGAGGTGACTAATGGAGCAGGGACACAGGCCACTGAGCAAAACTAGAACTTATTTAGAAAATATGTGCAACTTTCTTAGGTGCCTCTCACTTTAACACTTTTCCTCTTATGCCAAGCGCTTCTCACACATTTAAAAACACCAAGGTAATATTGACTGTTCAGAAGTCTATGTTTGTCTTTCAAAACATTCTCTGTCTCTGTCTCGGTCTCTCTCTGCCAAGAGATATCATGGCACTCCTCTCCCTCACTTACTCCCTACCCGCCCCCCTCTCATGTATGTTTTCTACTTTCATATTGTGAGAGCAACTCCTATGGACTAGTTCATTATACATGGTGCCCTTTGTTTGATTCCAAAATGAAGGGATTGGGGATATAGCTCAGTGGCATAAGCTCCTGCCTGTCAAGTGCAAGGCTGTGAGTTCAATCCCTGGTACCACAAAAAAACCACAAAACTTCAAAATGAACAGTTGAGCAGTTCTCAAGGAACTTTTCTTTTGTAAAAGAGCACCCAAATTTTCCCCACACAATGGTGTCAATATTTGAAAACAAATTTTTCATATGTCTTTCTGAAGCTGATTATTTTAAAATCTGAAGTATTGGTTACATAAATAGGTAGCGGTGATATTTCAGCTGCCAGCCACAGTGAGTGAAAATGGAAGTTTCCATTTTATTTTTAAGATCTTTTCATGAGAATCTCTAAATAAGCTTAAGGAAGAAACTTGCCAAAGCAAGTGACTAGCACTGATTTTTATTACACTGACCACTTCAATGCATGGTTTGCTTTGATCTAAAATTGGAATTCCATATAGGTCATAAAATTTCTGTAGTCTAAAAAGCTATATGTTTGCAGTTAGCCAAAAGAAAGGGATGTTTTGAGCATGTGTTGGCTCTGAAATCAAACAGCACAAGCTTCATTCATGGCTACTGCGAACCTTTGCCTGGGTTCTCTTCCACATTGCTCTGCTGGGGTGTGATGGGACAATCTCAGGATGATCAATAGGAGCCCCTATGTCTAAAGAGTTAAAGAGGAAGAATTCACACAATTGTCTCCTCTGTCCTGGTTCCCTAAGTAATGAAATACATGTCCAGGTGCTGTCTGCAATTTATCATTTTATACTGCTGGTGTCAAATCTATTATAACGTCAATTTTCAACATGAGTTTCTACTTTTCCCTTAGAGCATTATTCTCATTGCTGACTCTATAAACTGAGAAGTTTTTCTGCTGTCGGGATCTGAACATGGTGCTGACACCCAGTGTTCTCACAACTGATAATTCAGGTAATTGTGCTCTGTCCCTCATTAGCACAGGAGGCTTGGCTCTTCAGTCAACCAGCAATAGAACCCTGATCTCATAGATGCATTAGAACAACTAGTTTTGAATTAGAACAGAAAAAAGTAAGGGTACTGAACAGTCATCCTGAGACTCTCATGAAATCTAGGCTATCCTGCCAGTGTAGAAAACATATATAAATTATAAAGTACAAGAAGAGAATTCATGCAGCCATGTGGAGCCTTGACTGCTGGGATGGTTTACCACAAAAGTGGTGACTGCATGTACTATTGTGGGCTTTTGAGGGGGCAAGGTGTTTCTATCCAGAGCATTATTCTCTCACATTGATCAGCCCTTCATGACCTTACACATAGAATTGTCCACAACAGCCCATTCTAAACATCCATGGGCATTATTATCTAGGCTACCAGTTTTCAAAGTTCATCATTAAAATCTGCATATATTTTAAAATTAAATTATACTTTGAGGCCAATAAATAAAGTGGGAAAATTTAAAATAAGAAAAATCTACCACCTACTTCTGCCTTCTAATTCCTTGGTGCTGCATTGCTGTCCTATTCTCTCATGGTTCCTTCCACATCACCAGTGATCTCATTTAAATGCATTGAAAACTGGAAGCAACATACTGTGCTCACTTTTTGTACCTAGTCTGACCTCTTGGCTTTCCCTTCTTTGTAGAACAGCACCCTTGCTCCTGTGTAAATCCTTTGATATAGACTTAATCTACTCTCCGTTTCTCAAGCAATTTCCTGAGAATTTCTTCTCTCATTAGAAACTTTGCTCACAGGAATCACTCTCAGCACCATGAACATACTCTAGCTAAAAAAATTTTTGATAAAAATAATAACATGGGTGTTTTTAGAATAGCAATGGTAACATCAGTCATGGTCGGAGGCTATTTTTTAAATATCTGAACATGGATTTTTGAGGTAATGATGAGAAGATATTTATGGATGCTAAGATCTATGTGTTGGGTATCTACAGGGGCACTAAAAGCCTCTTGATAGATCTTGTTTCTTTCATTGCAGAGAGAATACTATATGGCAATGAAAAACTGCAGTGCTATCAGTGAGTTTATTCTTCTTGGACTGTCGGCTGACCCCTACATTGAGGCCATACTCTTCGTGTTGTTCCTTCTGATTTACTTCCTTACTCTGACTGGGAACTCCTTAATGCTTCTGGTGCTCTCAGCTGATCCTCACCTGCACACACCCATGTACTTCTTCTTAAAACAACTGTCCTTCCTCGACCTCTGCCACTCGTCTGTCACAGCGCCCAAGATGCTGGAGAATCTTCTTCCTGAAAGCAAAACCATCTCTGTAGAGAGCTGTTTGGCTCAGGCCTTCTTTGTATTTGCCACTGGCGGCACAGAGGCCTGTCTGCTGGCTGCGATGGCCTATGACCGCTATATTGCCATCAGCTTCCCTCTGCTCTATGGCCGGGTGATGAATAACCAGCTCTGTGTTGGGCTGGTATGGGTCTCCTGGGGCCTGGCCTTTGCTGATGCTCTCCTCAATATCCTCCCGGCTGTGAATTTAGACTTTTGTGAGGACAAAACTATTCCCCACTTCAGCTGTGAGCTGTCTTCTCTCTTTCCTCTGTCTTGCTCTGATACCTCCACCAACTTTACACTCCTGCTCTGTTCTTCTGTCTTTCATTTCTTTGGAACCCTTGTTTTGATTGTGTCTTCTTATGTCCGTATTGCCTCTACCGTCATGAGGGTCAGCTCCACCATGGGCAGAAGCAAGGCCTTCTCTACCTGCTCCTCCCACCTCACCACAGTGATCTTGTTCTACGTCTCAGGTTTCATCAGCTATCTCTTACCAACTTCAGGTTCCCCTCTGGAGATGATCTTCTCCTTGCAGTACAGTCTGATCACTCCCATGCTGAATCCCCTCATCTACAGCCTGAAGAACAAGGAGGTGAAGGCAGCTGTGGGAAGAATGCTCAGAAAATATTTTTATTCGCTCATGTAACAGACAGAAAATCATGAAGAAATGGGCATGTGTTATGGTTTGTGTCTGGATGTCCTCCCAAGGCCTCATGCAGGCATGGGGTGGGCTTTTAGAGTTTATAATTGATCTGTGATCCAATGCTGGGATTATGGGTGTGAGTGCTACAGCCGCCCTAGTTTGCATATGTAAGGGAGATAAAAAGGCTGCTTGCCACCACTCCTCCCCTTTTGCTCTGGTTGCTTTTGCTGTTTTCTGTTGCCATGAACAGTTGCCCTCTACTGTGTGCCACTCTGCCTTGGAGCCAGCCGAGTATGGACTGAAATCTCCACAGACTGTGAGCTAAATAAACCTTTTCTTTCTTAATTTTGGGTGTGGGGTATTTTGTCTCAGCAATGTGAGAAGAAGTAACTAAGACAGCATGGAACTGTTATGCTACATGAGCAGATACTTAACTTGAGGGGAAATTCGTGACTGTCTCTGATGGACAATGCCACCAGGAGCATGACAACTTTTACTTTTTGGGAAATGATGGTGAAGAGGACAGAAACTCTTAGGGTGACTTAGGTTCATTTTTATTCAGAGAGGGAGAAATGGCTCAGCTGACTTTCTTTTCTGGGGAACCATTCTGCAGAAATGCTCGGACACTCATGTGTATGAACATCTATTGTCACTGGTTGCTCCTTATTCCTTCATATGTCTTCTGGTACTCACGCTCCAAATTCTTAGGAAAAGCAATTCTGTCAGGGTCATAAGGTGGTCAGGTGGCTACCCTGTAACCCAGGGTAGGCTGACTGTTTAGTACTTTCTCTTGGCAGTGCACGGGGGCAACCAGAAAAGCCAACATTTGAGTTAGGTTATTCAGACTCTTCCTCTAGGAAATGAAAATATTGGGCAGGAATAACAGGAAAGTAGCCATATGGAATAGATTCCACCTGATTGTATTTCTACAAAGACGATGAACCCTGTTCTCCACAAAATGACCTTTGCTGGGGGTTTTAAAATTTATTTTACATTTATTTTTCACAGGACCACCAAAGTGATGGATGCCTGTACTGCAGCACAGAGGGGGTCAGGACATAGGAAGGAGCTGCCTAGACTAAGCCTGAGAAGTGATTGCATGTGCTCTTCATACAGCAGCTGTAGGCCTGTGTCTGCGAGGGGCAAGCCTCAAACCAGGGAGTCTTCTGGAAGTCTTGTTGTGAAGGTTGGGTATATTAGTAAGGGACCCAGATCCCTCCCTCCCTGATCTTAGTCACATTGTATTTTTAAATAAAAATAGCAGTAATAGAAAATTTGTTACATCTCTTAACTTGTGCCAAAAGTATACTAAATTCCTGTGGTAGGAAGATGTCATCCTTCTAATCTCTAGGAGCTTTGAATATGTATACAGTAAGTCCCCACCAACTAGAACAAACCATAGGAGGAGCTCACATGTCTGCTGCTCATGTGCCTGATGGACATTGTCACAGTTGTGTTACTGTGTAATTACTGTACAGTGCGAGAGTGTACCGTAGTACAATACAATCAGAGACTGGCTGTATTTTTGTGTGGGTATTTGTTTTTTTACACTTTGTATTGTACATTTGTGTCAAAAGTGTATAAGGCTCACTTTGCTGGATTAGGAATGAATCTGATTTAGGAAATTTCTCCTAGAATGGAACTCATTTTGTAAATTGGAACTTACTAACTTTACAGGCTATAAAAAGAGGAGGGTCTGAATTCTCCACATGGGTCCAGTCTAGTCATCTGAATTCTTAAAAGCAGTGAACCTTCTCCAGCTCTTAGCAGGGAAGAGAAGGCAGAAGGAAAAGTCAGAGAAAATATAAGCATGTACCCCTCCCACACCACCATTGTTGGCTTTCATGATGGAGGTGGCGCTGAGTCAGGGATTATGGGCCAACTCCAGAAGCTTAGAGTAACGCTGGCCAACAGGCAGCAAAGCATCAATTCCTCGGTTTATGGAACTGGTGGCCCTGGGTCCTGCCTGCAACCTGAATGAACCTGGAAGTGGGTCTCACCCCAGATCTTCTGCAGCATGTCTGCGGCCACCTTGGTTTTGGCCTTGTGAAACTCAGAGCAGTGACAGTTGTGGAACTCAGCCAGACCTCTGAGCTAAAGAACTGTGAGGGAACAGCATCATTTTAAGATACGAAACTCGCAGTGATTTGTTAGGACAGAATACAGAACTAACATACTGCTTTATCTTTCCTTTTCCCTGTTAATCATCTCCATGAGCGTATGAGGTAACTTCCATCATTAGTTTTTCTGTACTGGTGAGGAAGTGAGACACAGGCTATTTGCATAGCTGTTCAGAGAGCCACAGGAAGGAGCTGCAATTTAAGGTGCTCAGAACTGAGCTATGCTCTCGGTTTCTGACTGAGCCCTCCACCAAGTTTACCAGGCTCCCACCTCCTTTCCACAGTCAGCTGCCATCACATTCAGTTGCTTACAACCACAGAATGGTTACAGATCCTGAAACAGGGGTCAGATGTGAGTTGCTGGCAATGAAACGGCAAAATCGCAAGTATTTAGAGTTGGAAGTCACTGTGCTGTTCTTCCTCTTCAATTCTGCATTTGACTTGAAGGAACATCTCTCAGGGAAATGTTATTGTGCAAAGATGTACGAAAGGGCATGAGTCATCCAGTTTTTACTGCTTATGGTATGCAGTTGCCACTGTTCTGTTAAGATCCATAATTGCCTGAGGCTGTAAACATTGTGATAACCCTGTGAATATTGGAAAGTTACAAAAATTAAGTAAGACCAGGAGAATGATGCAGGCCAAGACTACAGGTCTTCTGTTTTCATGAAAGATGAGATAATTTTTCATTTCTTGGGTTTCTACCTTAAGGTGCAGCATAAACTTCAGGGCTTTCTTAGCTACATACTGAAAAAAGATCCTGCTATTCTACTCCTGTGGAGCAGACTACACAAAATTAACTCAGAGAGGGATTCAGAGACCTGCTGAGTCACACCATCGGTTGACTCACTATCACACCAGGTTACCTATGGGACGATCAGACCCTGATCAGGGAAGCGTATCATCTCAACAATGCAATAATGACCTTGTGGGACATGGGGAGGATCTGGGGAACCATGAGCCTCAAAGCTTGTCCATGACTACTGCCCCTCCTGTCTCAGCATGTTGTGTCTCCCTGGTGGGAGAAAACCAGTAACTCCATTCACATTGTATAAAGCCCAGTTAAGGTCCAGGACTCAAAATGAACATAATGGATAGGACAAAATTAGAACCAGGGAATTACACTAAACAGAACTACTAGAACTAGATTAACTGTTGTACCCAACAGTCTAGGAAATATTTCTGAGGATAAATTTTATGTTTTTTTAACTAAGAGAGTAAATTTAATAGAGGTGCTTTATCTCTTGAAAATAACTTTGCATATATGTATTTATTTATACAGACATAATTTAATCTAAATACTGGAATGGAATCATACTATACCACATGATTCTTGGTGCTTGTTTTTTTTTTTTTTTTTTTTTTTTTTTTTGTTTTGTTTTGTTTTTGGTGTCTTCTCCTTATGTGCAGCCCATATTAACCATGGAGTAGGCACCTCTCTTAGCTTTCTCTGGGTTTATATATGCATATCTAAATCCTGTACA